TTTTTATTTTTTTTTTTTTTTTTTTTTTTTTTTTTTGGGTAACTGCTACATATTTATTTGATAAATTAATTGTATGTAATAAAAAAAAAATATATATTTTTTTCAGAATTTAATTTTATATTTTGTTTATTAATTCAACAAAAATTAAAAAAATATATCAAAAATGAATTAAAAATTAAAAATAAAAAATTTAAAGTATTTTCTAATATATTTCTTTTAGTCTTATATTTTTATGATCCATGAAAATTAAGGCATACTTTTATTAAATTTATTCATAAAATAAATAAATGTTTTTCTATTTTTCGTTCTAATATATATAAAAAAAGAAAAAAAAAAAAAAGAAAATTAGTATTTATAATGAATATGTTTTCTATTTTTTAATTTACATTTTTTTTTTTTTTTTTTTTTTTTGTTGTAAATTTTTAAATTAAATATTTAAATAATATTTAAAATAACCCTTTCAATTGTTTGAATATGTGATAATATAAATGAAATAATTTCAACATTTTTTAACCAAATAGAAATGAGATATAAATATATAAAAAAAAAAAATAAATAAATAAATAAACTAAATTATATTAAAAAAATATGTAAAAGTAAAAAATGTTAAAAAAATATTAATTATATTTGCAGCAATTTTTATGTTAGGATATTTGATTTTAATAAGTTTTGTAACATTTTGCATTTTATTATGTATATTTCTTTAAGTATACATATTATTATTTTTAAAGAATTATCTCATTTTTAAGTCAAAGAAGATTATTTCAAATTAATACAATTATTTGTCTATTTTTTTTTTTTTTTTTTTTTTTTTTTTTTTTTTTTTTTTTTTTTTTTTTTTTTTAATGAAATGTATTATATTTTTTTATTTTAAAATATTAACCTTTTAAAGACCTGATAAATTTATATAAATATATTATATACTCTTTTTATTTTTTTTTTTTTTTTTTTCTCTTAATTGTTTTGTGTTATATTTTTTTTATTTGAGTTTAATATATTATATATATATATATATATATGTATATTTGAATAAATGTTTGTTATAAAAGATGGCAAGTAGTACACTTAAAAATGTAAAAGTTCCAGAGAAAAAAGCTGCAATTAAAAATTTAAAAATTGATATAAACAATAATGAAGAATACAAAAAATTAAAGGAAGACAAAAAAAAATTAAAAAAAGAATTATCAATAAAAGAAACTGAAATAAATAATTTAAAGAAAATATTAGAAGACAAAGAAAATGACATAAAATTAAATTACATTCCTTTAAAAGAAGCAAGAAAAATAACTTTTAAAGCATTAAGAAAAGGATCAGCAGCACAAAAATTTATTAGTCTAATAGAAAGTAATAGTATTAATTATAAATTAAAAAAAAAAGCTATTAATATATTATTAACAAATGCATATGGTGTTTTGCACCATCAGAAAAATCGTTATTCAGACGTTCTAAAATATACAGATTCTCATTTAAAATTATTTAGGCAGGAGCAGTTAATACTTTTAGCTGAAAATGAAAGATTAACAATGCAGATGAAAGAATTAAAGAAACAACTTTTAGATAATAAAATTGAAAATATAAAAAAAAATGAAAAAAATTTGATTACACCAATGAAAAGAAATACTGAAAGTATAGAAAAAAAAAATAATAATACAGATGATAATTTTGTTGAATTAGATGCAGATATTGTAGAGAAAAATTTTATAAACTTAATAAAAAATATTAAAATAGCTCAATTAAAATTATTATTTTTTGCATTTAGAAAATTAAGTAATAATGTATATAATAATGTAGATCCTACTAATGTTAGTGCAAATATGATAAATTCTTTAAAACATGGTATGGATATATTAAATAATATATTAAAAAATAAAAAAACTGTAATAACTTGTAATGCATTTTATAAATTATTAAATTGTAATATAAATAATTTATTATATAAAAGCAAATACTTACAAAAAATTAATAAATATAGTAGTTGTAATTATTCAAATCCAAAAAATGGTCAAAGAATATCCCATTTTGTTTATAAACCCTATTATTACGATAATTTGCCAAGTGCTACTTGTGATGTGCAGAAAAAAAGATTACCAATTTTAAATGATAAAAAAGATTTATTTATGAAAGATTTAATTCACAAAGGTGAACCATTATATGAACCTTTTACATATGAAAATGTAAGAAATAATATAAGTAAAAATAAATATTACAAAAAAGATTACTTTGATATGGAAGTAAAAAAAAATTTCGATTCAGAAAAATATTCTTGCTTTAATGATTTTGATTTTCTAAGTGATTTCAGTGCATATGATAAGGAGAAATTTATAGATTTATTTATAACTGAAACAACAAAAAAGTAAAATTATTTTATTATTTATTATTTTTTTATTCTTTTTCAATTTAATAAAACATATAGATTATATATATATATATATATGTAGATACATAATGCTTTCCTTTTTTTTTAGATAATAATATGTATTAAAAAAAATACTTCATTTCATACTTTCACATAATTAAATTGTTTTTTTTTTTTTTTTTTTTTTTTTATTAAATAATAAATAATTTAAGAATATTAAAGGATAGATATGAAGTTTTTCTTTTTTTTTTTTTTAGTAAAATTAAAATGTTCTATTAATTAAAGATAAAATATTAAAAATATTATTTCATTTTTTTTTTTTTTTTTTAATGTGATTTTCTATTTTTCTATGGATACATTTTTTTAGTAACTTTAAATTTTATCTATTATATTTTTTCTTAACATTATATTGTTTAAATTTTTAAGACAACACTTTGGTATGTATATTAATTCTATTTTTTTTTTTTTTCTTTTTTTTTTTTTTTTTAATAGGATGTTTTATTTATTTATTTCTTCTATATAACTTTTTGCATTTTCTCTTTTATAATTTTTAGTATTTTTTTTTGTTTTTTAATACTTGTAACAACTACCATATAACATCTTTGTTTCAAAGAAAATGTAATAATTTTTTATGAAAAATATTATTTTAAAATTTTAAGTCTTTTTTTTTTTTTTTTTTTTATCTATTCTTATAAAGTCATATTTTTTAATTTATTTTTTAATATAACTACCTTGTCTAACACAATTATTTTAGATTAAAGGAATAGTTATTGATATAAAAGTTGTTTCAAACATTTATTAATAATTATATATAAAAAAATTTTAAGGAAAATGAAATCATGATAAAATATTTCCTTTGTTCATTTTACATATTATTATTTAAAAATATGCTTATAATATATTATAAAAATATCATAAATTTTATTTTTTGTGATTTTATAATTTTTTGAAAATTTCAAAATTCATTTTTCAATTAGAATGTGTTCTTTATAAATTCATATTTAAATCACATTTTTTTTTTTTTTTTTCGAATGTAAAATATATAAAACAAACAAAAAATGTAACAAACAAAAAAGCTAACAAACAAAAAAGAAAACAAATATAAAATAAAATAAAAAAAGTAACATGTGCAAAATAAGAATAAATGAAAAAAAAAGTAATAGAAGAAAATAAATAAATAAATTTATATATATATATATATATATATATATATATATATATATATATATATATATATATATATATATATATATATATATATATATGATTAATTTTCAAAATAAAAATATTTATAAATTTTTTTTAGAACGAATAACAAACTTACTATTATATAATAGATTCTACATAAAAATAATTAAACTTTATAATTATATATAAATATACACATAAATATATATATAGTAATTGAATGATCAAAAAGTAATACGTGCATATTGATGTATTTTAACATATATTTTTTAAAAATATATTTTTTCTACTTAAAAATATAAATAAAAAAAAAAAAATTTAGAAATGTTATAAATATTTATATATATGAATAAAATTATATAAATATAAAAGTTATGCAACAGCTCAAACTTAAATTATAATAATAAATATTATTAATATATATTATTTATATACTTAAGGTAAATATATAAAATAAAAAGGTGAAAAAAAAAAAAAAAAAAAAAAAAAAAAAAAAAAAAACAAAAAAACAAAAAAAAATCTTCCTTTTTTTTTTTTTATAATTTATCCAAATAAAATAATTGATCTTTTAAGTCCATGTGACTAGGTAGTTTACTATTTTTAATGCATTCACTAAATAATTCTAGATATGGTTCTAATTCGTTAAAATGTTTTGTAAACTTTGCATTTCTTAAACATAGACGTAAAGAATTTGCATATCTTTCTCTTTTTTCTATACCTACTGGGACTTTTGGAACTACATTTTTTTTCAAATCTTGTAAAATCAAAGCTAATGCTTCTCTAGTTAAATCGATAAAGTTTGATTTATATTCATCTTTATTTTGGTAACAATAATCAGAATAATAATCGTTTGTAAAAATTACATTATATTCATTTTCATTATACTTATTTTTTGGTTTTGTATTTTCATTATAGTCATATACAAGTGGTTTTATAAAAAAATTTTCTTCGTTTGTTTGTTCAGGTGAA